ATTTCCACTTGTTGGAACCTGACCATGATTAGTCAAAGATTGAGGGCCCTGCATAAATCCCTCTAGATACTCAATCATGTGAGCAGCATTAAATCCTGGTCTTTTAGTCTTAAGTGTAGGCCACCGTTCAGGATAGCCCTTTATCTTGAAACAATTCTCAACAAGGTGCCCAGTCCTTTGACAATGAGTACATTTTAGGTGACTCTTGTCAATATTTTGTTGTTCATAACTTCTTCTTCCTGTATCCTTCATCCAGTTGTTTGATGTAGCAAACATTGTTGAATTTTGAGCATTTTGCATCATCATAGGAACATTATCGGAAGAAGAAGCAATGTGAATACTAACATGTCTATGTTTCTCAGCAGTTGAAATCATGTGACACACTTTGTAAACCGAAGGAATTGGATCCATAAACAGAATTTGACTTCTTTCTGATTCATAAACATCATTCAGACATGTCATGAACTCCATCCCCCTATCCTCATTCTCTCTGTTAACTATGAGATCACCAATCTCTCCTTCTACAATTGGTGCAGGCCTTAATTCCTCATATTGATCCCGGATTTGTTTAAGTTTGCCAAAATAATCAGATACAGATAAATTTCCTTGCCTAATTTCTCTCTTCAATACAAATATATGTGGAAGATTTGTCTTACCAAAACGCTGCTCAAGACTCTTTTGGAGTTTTCTTGCATCATGAATGAACATAAACTGATTCATCAGGTCTGGTGACATAGAACTTTGATCCAGGAGCATACCATGTTGTTTGCTCTTCTCCACTTCAAGATAATAGGCGAATTCTCAACTGGCATTGGAAAACTCCCATCGACAAATCCTACTTTCATCTTTCCTTCCAAGGCTGCTATCATTGCACACCTCCAAATCAAATAGTTCTTATTTGTCAGCAACACAAAAACGATTTGAGTTCTACGATTTCCGAACCATGACCATGCAGCTGCTCTTCAATAAGAGGATCAAGCTCTCTCCTAGCTTCCATTCTTTCAACAATATCTCAAGTATTGACTCGAATTCAAGTGAAATTTCTTAAAATCTACTTTATCAGGTAACCAAAATCAAGAAGCTAGGGTTTTCATCGGCGAAAAAAAAACCAGAAATTAAAACGAAGCGGAAGACAGAGCAGAGCAGATTCGCACCTGCTCTGATACCATAAAGAAATTAATAAGAAGAATCATGAGAAGGAACAATTTTCAGATCAAGAGTTGAAATATAAGGAAGAATTTGGACGAGAAGTTTTTCTGAATTTCTTCTTTATTTTATCGTATTTCTCAAAATATTCTGTACTAGTACAAATCCTGCTAGCTATCTATTTATATACAAACTGAGTAACTAACTTCCTGATTATTTACACTCATTAAACTAACACAATCAATCTACACCGTTTATTTACAGCTAATCTAATCGATCCAACGTCTACTGATTCAAGGAACTTTGTACTTTTGGGTTGATGACTTGGACAAATGAATATTTTGGAAGCAGTGCAACTTGCCGGATCACAGCTGATTCCATATGCGTGATAAAGCTGCTGAGGTTGCTGATGATCCAAATCCGCATAAGCATCCCTTGACTCTTCACCTGCCGTGCATGCAGCACCTGCCATATCAGCTGTGGACTTTTTTTTGCTGATGTGTCCAAATTGGCGGCTGATAACTGTAACAATATTACTACCCTTTTGCAAATTGCCATCTGAAAAATAACTTAATAAGCATCTCTTTTTTTCTTCCAATATCAATTTCTTCAAGTCTAACATCTAAGGAAATTACAGAAAGTTGAAATTGATTAGTTCAAAATAGACCAAAGAGTTAAGACATATTGTACGTATTTTATTCTCGAATACTTGATATTAGTAGCACATAGTAGTTTCTTCCATCATTCATGTGCGGTCTAGTTGTTGAACAATTTGGAACTTGATAATTTATGCTTTTTTCTTTTTTATAAAAAACCAAAGTACTATATTCCGTACGAGAGATATCTTGACCTAATCGTGTTAAAGAACGTAATAAAGGTCAATTATACCATTTTCTTTTGGCTGCAATTAATGTACGGTACCAAAATTTCACAAACCAATTAATCTTACTCACCAGTTTCCGATAATTTGAGCTGCACTACTATATGGAAGAAGAAAAAAAAAAAAAAGCTTTCATACGTTCTAGCGAACAAGACAAAAAACCTTGCCACACCCCTGATTTTTAATCAATTTAACTAGTACGAAAGATAGGGAAAAAAAAATACAAAGAAAGCAGCTAAGAATTATGACTATTTGTTTAAGCTTTTGTCAAGCTGGCGCAAGCTTAGTTTTGCTCAATTCTCTCTCTCTCTCTCTCTCTCTCTCTCTCTCTCTCTCTCTCTCTCTCTCTCTCTCTCTCTCTCTCTCTTTCAGTCGCTTTTATACTATGTAGGATAACATAGTTCGCCAGATGTTTCATATCCTCTTCTTTCTTTTTTTTTGTTACATATCCTCTTCTATTTCGTACTAAGTTCTTTTACGATTTCTCTGATATAATAATATATATATTCCTTTATTTTAAAAGAAAAAAACAAAAATTTAATGGAAATTGAAGTTTTGAATATGTGATTGGGGATAACCGAAATTTATGAATGATTTTTCTACATTGATATTTTAGTTTAGCAAGTCCCAAATTATCATTTTTAGACGAACTGTTCTCAACATGAGTACTACACTAACTTATTTCCAAGTATAACATTTAAAATACTCTTAAAACTTACTGATTTCTCATTATTCGCAGTTTAACCTTAAAATATTCGGGTTTTTTTTTTCTTTTCAACAAACTAATTAAATCATCAATAAATTAAATTCTTTTTCCATTACAAGGATATATAGACGTACCCGCCTTACACGTGCATGAATGTATTCATAAATATACACGCCCGATTTTGTTACATTTCGTTTTGTTTTGGCTTATTGTTCAATGAATCATGATCTTCTATGGGTAATATGGTCCCTTTTCTACGTAATAAGGACGAACTACCGAAGAAACTAATGAGGCAAGAAATAAAAGATAATGAAACAGTTTTCAACTTAAAAAGAGAAAGAGCTAATACGTTGTTCCTTAGTTTCATGCCAAAAGAATCGAGAAGATGTCCAGCGCTGGACACCTGTTTGTTGGTGAAATCCCAGAAATTTGGGCCAAATAAATTCAGAAACACAAAGAATCGAGAAGATCATTTGTTTTCCCCGCATAGTTCAATGATCATTCATATCTTTTAAAGATAATGGCAACCCATGTTTCTTATTTCTTAGGTCAAGAACCTAGTAGTTTGTCCTAAAAAGACACTCAAGCCACCTAAAAGAAGCATGACAGTGGATAGTGAAGAGTGAGTGGTGAAGAGAGTAATTTCCAAAACGCATTGCATAACAGTTAACATTTACACGTTCCGAATGATTTTCTCAAGATGTTTTGCAACAACTTAAATTAACTTCTTAGACACTATTCCATCCGATCCTTATTATAAAGTATTTTGATTGTCTTAAATTTCACCTAGTATTTTTTTAATTGAAAAAATATTAAAAATATTTTTTAATAACTAGGAGAACGCAATGAATGTGAATATGTGGTGACCAAGGGGGAAATTGGCCTATACATTTCTCAAATTCCCAGCTCACTAGTTGGATTCAACACGCTTTGTGTTGTTTCCAAAAAACAAAAAAAATAAAAAATAAAAATAAAAAAGAAGAAAAAACGCTTTGTGTGCGTCTCCGTCCTAGCATATATCATTCAGATCACAATTTGTGTCTGCCGTTGATGAAGTTGAATTTTCTCAGTATTTTGTAGGGCTAATGTTGGAAGACTGTCAAATATTTACAAAATAGTGTTTCTATAGAACTACAACATTGTATGTGAAATTGTAAATAACCAATACTAATATTAACACAAACAAAGAGAACAATAAAATTTCAAAGATTATTTCATTTGCTAAGGTCCACTAGGCTGATATGAATATCATTAGCACCATGATATTTTTCTTTATATCTACAGATTGTTGAATATAATTACGAATAATAAACTTCAGTTAAAATGAGCTAGGACCTCTGAAAAAGAAGGGTGCTAGTTGGGGAACTAGCTAGTTTAAACTGGAATTGTATTTTCGGAGTTAGGGTGCTTGTAAAAAAATTTTCTCTCTCTAAAAATTTTTTCTCTGCCTTCTCTCTAATTTCTTGTCCGAAACCCTGCTCTATGGCGGCCGATGACAATAATTTAACTTTTGCCGAGATACTCAACGGCTCCAAACCAAACCCTAGAAAAGTGCTTAAAGGTGTTGGCAAATCAATTAATGAAGAATCCTTCATATCAAATCCCACTGTTTACAAGGGAGAGCCGGCTTTTTTGTTAAGCAAGGAAGAGGATGAGAGATTGGCTGAGCCATTTAAGCTAGCGCTCATAAGAAAATTTTCAAAGGGTCGGCCAACGATGGAATATTTGTGGTCTCAATTTCAAAAAATCGGATTTAGGGGAGAATTCACTTTGCGAATGCTGAATCATAGACATGTTCTCATATGTTTTGAGCAAGATGAAGATTTTCAGAGATGTTGGATCAAAAGCCTATGGATGTTCGATCACCATATTGTCTTGAAGTGAACTCCGGAATTTAATCCGGAACATGAGTCATCGATTGCTCCGGTGTGGGTTGGGTTTGAAAGCTTGCCAATCCATCAATTCAACGAAGATTACTTGCGGAAATTGGCAGGGATAATCGGGAAGCAGTTGAAGATCGACGTTCCAACCCTAAATATGTCACGTCCATCCATAACGAGAGTTTGCGTCGAGGTGAATCTTCTACTTGAACTGCAGAAAAGAATAAGGTTAGGCACAGCAGAAAATTTGTATTTTCAATCCATAACGTATGAAAACTTGCCTGATTACTGTTTGGAGTGTCGTAAGATTGGCCACGCAGCACCAGATTGTCGCCATGTTAAAGGAAGAAACAAGGAAACAGAAGTGCGCAATAAGAACCCTAGAGCGATGGAAGAAAAATCTACAAAGGCTGCAGTAGCGGGTCAAGAAAAAATTCCAGTTTCAGTGGAGGTAGTAGCGCGCAATAACAACCCTAAAGGGACGACTGATCATTCAAAAGGGGTTCCAGTTGTGGAAAAAAATATATGGAAACAGAAAGAGGGTTCTCACTCGCATGTTGAAGGATTTGAAAAAGACAAGGAAGCCTCGACTTCAGGTTTGACGGATCACGAGAAAAGGAAAATTCCAACTGATGTAGATCCCGCAACTCCCACATTACGGCAAAACTCATCAGCGGAATGACGATTCTCGAAGGATCAGTTAAACTCAGTTCTACAGAAAACCTAACAGAAAGAAGTCTCCTTGGATTCACATGAAGAAGAGGAAACAGAAAAATCCGCGGAGCAAGAAGTTTCAGACCTGCAACTAGTTGTTTATAAGGATTCAGTTAAGGTTACAGAAGAGCTCCCAAAGGTTGTCACTCAGTCGCGTTTCCACGTTCTGTCTGAGATTCAGGAAAATCAAGATGATGAAGGTGAAAAGGAAACACAAAATGATCTTGCTAACCCTTCTTTCGAATCAGAAGTTGAATCAGATTCTGAGGATGAACTAGAAAAAATGCAATTTCTCAATACAACCGCAGCAATCTCGTCTGGTGATGTTGGAAGAACTTTGGCTACATCTCACTCACAGGAAGCTCGTCTAATAGCCTCTAATGATGAAGGAAAGAAGAAGAAAATGGGAAGACCAAAAGGTTCAACGAAAGCAGCGAAACTTCTCGCAGCTAAAACTCGCACATCTGCGAGTCTTCTCAGTGATCCTCTCTCAAAAATGTCTCAATGAATAGTCATCTTTTCTGGAATATAAGGGGTATTGGGAACAAAGCATCAAAGCGGCAACTTAAGAACTTGGTAAAACTGCACTCATTATCGCTTATAGTCCTCCTAGAACCAATGTTGTCGATTTCTCAAGTAGAAACCTTAAAACAGTATTTGAATTTCTCAGCTATGCTAGCTTCGTCGAATAGTCAGATTTGGATTCCTTGCTCAAAGGACTGGAATATGAGATTGTTGGCAGCTTCAGATCAAGCTCTTCATGTAGAAGTAGAATGTATGAAAAGCTCGCAAAAAGTTCTACTCTCAGCGGTGTACGCTAAGTCGACGCGACAAGAACGGCAAGAACTTTGGCTAGAACTTTTGAATTTTCAACAGAATCATCAAGGTCTTCCATGGATGGTAGGAGGCGACTTCAACGTTATCAGAATGGGAAGGTTTTAAAGCGGCTAGATAGGCTCCTCTTTAACTCTGAATGGCTGGAACTGTTTCCTATCTCATCAGTGCATCACTTAAGTCACACTACATCCGATCACTCACCACTTCTTCACCAGTTTAAACGAGACGAAGATACTCGGCCAAGGATGTTTCGTTTTCAAAAAATGTGGATGCGTAGAGATGTTTATGTGAGCTTGGTGATGGAAAACTGGAATCAACCAATAGATCAATATGGAATGCTTGCTTTCTCGCTTAAATTGCGGCAACTCAAGCAATGCTTAAAGGAATGGAATAAAACCGTCTTTGGCAATGTGTTCAATAACTTCGCAGAAGCTGAAAAGGATGTTCAAATTAAGGAAGCTCTCTATGATCAAACGGGGGCAGTTGTGGACAGAATAGCTCTACATCAAGCTCAAGCGCATCTGCTACTCAAGCTGCGTAAAAAAGAAGACTTTGTGCAGCAAAAATCTAGGTTAAAATGGCGGCGGGATGGTGATTCGAATTCCACGTTTTCCCATGCTTCGCTGAATGAGAAAAAAGCTCGCCTAGGAATTCATAAAATCCGAAGATCAGATGCAGTTTGGATAGTTGATAATGCGGAAATTCAAAAGGAAGCAATCTCTTTTTTTCAGCAACTTTTAACTAAGGAAGAAAGTACCAATCATGAAGAGGCTTGCAATACTGTTCTAACCTGTATTCCAACTACTCTAAATGCGGAGGACAATGCTGTTTTGCTGGCTGATTTATCCATAGATGAAATTAAACAAGCAGTGTTCAGTTTGGATCCAACTAGCACGGCTGGAAGTGACGGGTTTGGGGGAGATTTCTATCGTCAATGCTGGCCAATCATATGTGAAGACCTTAAACTTGCTTGTATGGATTTTATGTCTGGAGTTCCTCTTCCACGAGCCATTGGAAGCACTCTCATCACTTTGATTCCAAAGAAAAATACAGCAACTTCATTTGCGGACTTCCGACCAATAAGCTTGTGCAACTTCCTCAACAAAATTTTAACAAAGCTGCTTACGGAGAGATTGAAAGTCGTCCTTCCACAGCTGATTTCGGAGGATCAATCTGCATTTTATAAGGCCGGGATATAATAGACAATGTTTTGTTAACTAAGAACCTCCTTCAATTCCTTGACCACAAAACGAGAGGGGGAAATTTAATCTTGAAAGCCGACATGATGAAAGCATTCGATAGAGTTTCGTGGAGTTTCCTTCGAAAAATAATGCTCAAGTTTTGTTTTCCTCATCACTTTGTTTCCTTAGTAATGTCCAATCTTTTGAGGAACTGGTTCTCGGTCCTCTTGAATGGTGCACCGACGGGTTTTTTCCAAGCTACAAGAGGTATCAAAGAATCTAGTGCTCTCCGGAAAGGTTGCAAGCTATGGAGTTCCAGCGGGAGCATCAATTGTATCCCATTTATGTTTTGCGGACGACCTAATCATCTTCTCCAAACGACCGAAAAACTCGATGCTACAACTCAACCACTTTTTTCAAGAATATGAGTACGCTTCTGGGTAGAGAATGAACAAGAAAAGAGTAATTTTTTGGTCTCGGAGAAACAAAGTGAAAGCCATATTGAAATGGTAACTCAAACGCTGCAAATGCCCCGAGGTACTTTACCATTTAAATATTTGGGCTGTTATATCTTTAAAGGAAGGAAGAAAGCAGACTATTTTCTCCATCTCTTGGAGTCTTTTGAAGCAAAATTGGGGAATTGGAAGAACAAGCTACTTTCAGTGGGAGAACGTATAATTCTGATAAGCATGTTTTATCTGCCATTCCAATACATACAATCGCAGCAATATCTCCTCCGAAATCAATCATTGAAGAGTTGGAAAAAAAGTGCCAAGCTTTCCTTTGGGGAGAAAACAAGTATGGTAGCAAAAAGCATTGGAGGGCTTGGGATAAAATCACTTTTCCGGCTGCTGAAAACGGTTTAGGCTTTCGTAGTTTGAAGGACACAATTGAGGCATATTCCATGAAGCTCTGGTAGAAGATCAATACAAAACAGGGTGTTTGGGCAAGGTTCATTCTATCTCTTTCAGACACAGCTAAAGATAAAACAAGTTGGTCAAGAGTGTCTAAAGTTCATCAAAAAGCATCCCAAAGCTCGAAGATGATTATAAACGATAGATCCTCCTCTTTTTGGAATGCTGATTGGCTGGATTTAGAAATGGTTCGAGAAGGTTTGGATGTGGTTCCTTGGCCAAACTTAACAGTAAGAGATTTTTTCTCTTCAAAAGCTTTTTTATTGCAGGAATTGAAGGAAGTGTTGCACCCTTAAACCCTTGCGCATCTTACAACTACTACGATGACCTTTGATGATGCACCGAATCAACTAGCATGGAGACCTAATTCAGCGGGGGCATTCACCATTAGGGACACTTACGCTGAATTCCAGGCAAAAAGAGAAGAGTCTATTTATCTTAAAAATGTTTGGAATAATGTGATCCCTTTAAAAATCTCTTTCTTCATGTTAATCACCTTTTGCCTTTTCCTGAAATTGTCCATAGAATGGGAATATATTCTAATCCTTCTAGATGTCCTTTTTGCTGAGTGGTGGAAGAAAAAATTGATCATGTATGGAATCATTTTTCTACTTTAATGAGTTTAGCTATCTATAATCATACGGGTTGGTGGAGCAATCTACAAGCATGGCATTCAATAGGTAGTTATACAACAGCAAGAAAAAGCATTATTATGGTACTTCCTATCTTCATTCTTTGGGAGATATGGAAGTCCCGTAATTCAATAATGTTGGAGGGTAAAATCTTTTCATTTAATGCTTTAGTACATGCAGTTACATCTCACATTTCCAATTTTTTGAGTGTTCATAAGTTGTACAAAAAACGGAGTAAGAAAGACAATAGATAGAGGAAGTCTTCAAAATAAAGATATCCACACAACTCAAGAAGACTGCTCAATCTCTAAGATGGCAACCACCTGATCCTGGGAGAATGATTCTAAATATTGATGGGTCAGCGCTAGGACAGCCTGGTGAAGCAGGTGGGGTTTTGTTTTACGAGGACACAAGGGAGCTTTGCTTTATGTAGAATGCAAGTATATGGGAATAGCCACAAGCTTAGAAGCAGAATTAAATGGCATCGTTTATGGACTACGAGCCTGCGAAGCAAGAAGTTTATGCCAAGCAATCATGCAAACGGATAACAAGGCAATTGTCAGCATCCTATGCAAAAAACAAAGATTTCCAAGGAGATAGCACTCGGTTTTCAAAGAAATACAGGAAAAACTTGACACTTCCAAATCAATAATTGTCCATATCTCCAGGAAAGTAAATGCAATGGCAGACGAGTTAGCCAAAATAGCTGTGAGGGGAGAGATTAAACAATACCTTCATCAAGATGACCTCCCAGCTACACTAAGCGGTAAATGGTATCTTGACAAATGCTCTTTTCCCTATTTAAGGGTTAAATAGCATTTGCACCTTCAACTGGTTCTTATAGATTTTAGATAGGATACTAGACTAGCGTTTTTAGTTTTTCTTTATATATTAGAGGGAATAGAGGTGTCATGGAGTTAATGTTAAACCTTTGTGAGGTACTCTCTTAGGTTTTGGTTCTTTCATATCTTTGAAAAGAGATGCCATGGGATTATAGTACAATCTTTGTAAGGCATCATCTTAGTTACTTAAGCAAAGAGCTGTCATGAGATTTTAGTAAATCTTTGTACGATAGACTCTCTATCTTAAGGTAAGTCTTAAGCACTGCCAGTGTACTCTTTTTTTAATTATCAATAAAATCGGGGGATGCCCACTAGGTACCGTCCTGGTTCACCTAAAAAAAAATAGTATGTAACACTCACTCCTAAAATTATTCATTCCATTCAAATCATTTAATAATATTCTAACATATTTATAAATAAAAATAATATAAATAAAATAAATGTATAAAATATAAAATTTTCTATCCAATAAAATTTTACCATCTAAAAATATAAATATTATTTCGTTTTACCCTGTTCTCTCTCATTTTTATCACAAAAAAGCTAAAAAAAATATTCTAAAATTTTTACTTATTTATTTTCTTCCAATTATTTTTTAAAAAAAATTGTATGGGTCAGTGGAGTAAATAGTGCAGTGTTGGTTCTTGTTTGGTAATGGGATAGCAGAATTAAAAAAAATAATGAGAACAAAATAAATATTAAAAGTTAGTTCATTCACGGTAGAAAGAGAGAGAATAAGGTAACAATTTAGTAATTTTATATTTTTAGATAGTAATATTTTGATGGGACAAATAAAAGTAAAAAGGGTAAAATTGAAAAAAGTAATGTGTTAAAGTAAAATTGGGTTCAATTGAAAATTGAAAAAAAAATTGGGACAAAATTGAAAATGTTATAAAATATTGAGGAAAATAAGTAATTTTTATTTCTCAAAAAAATTCAGATTTCACCGGAATAGTGGCCACATCCGTTGAATAGGACTAATTTTGAACAAACGAAAAACTTTCAGGATTAACTTTTTCACATGAAAAATATTAGAGACGAAAATTCAATTTAAAAATACCATAGGGACTAGAATGATCGAGCACCCTTAGAATTATCATCA